ATCGGGGTATGAGTGTGCAACTCCGAAACAAACAAAATTTTATGCGGTTTTATGATTACCCATTTTTTTTTCGAGATTCTACGCCAGTGGATATGGGGTATGGATATGGGCACAGATATATGGATATGGCCAGGCTGGTCCGTTCATTTATCACGGCACACGCTCTGGAACCGAGTGGCATGTAGCATGCAGCACGTTGCACATAAACGCATTCGGCAGTCGGTGGTTACAACACCAACACCCGTCGTAATTATCGCAGCAAGTCGTATAATCAGAGCCAGCCCAAAGGGTTGTATAACTTAGGCAAATCAGGGCAAATGATACATCGCGCTTCGCGGAGAAAGTCATCAACTATCCGTGGATTGAGTATTTTTTAGACCATTCGCCATGGCTCGCGGCGCGGAAGATTTTTATTGCTTTGTAAGTTCTTTTACTTTTTATATGTATAAGAAAGTTGCTCTTTGGTGTAAAAATATGATAATCATAAACAATCAATAAACAATTGCAAATCAATAGTTGTAAAACTATAAATAGTAAAGGTTCTTGGTTACATAATATGGCTATGTTGGAAAAATATATATAAAGTAATGCAGAAATATGTTGCTAAATTTAATTATAAGCCTTGTTTGCTTTAAAATGCATAGTGCTATATAAATAATAATATAATGAAAAAGGGAGTTACTACTATTTTCTATAATCAGAGTCAAATAGTGTTTTTTTAATTGATTTCATATGGGAAACCTGGTTTTATTTTCATTAAAAATAATAAAACGAAAATATTTATTGTAATTTAGAATCTCTTTCACAGTCTATTTTATAAAAAGTCTTTAACTATATCATCCGTAGCATTTTTTTTCTAGTTTTCAGAACTTACCGCAAAGCATTTCCTTTACAGCTCTGTAAGAAACCAGCTTTTCCAGCGATAAAAGATTATTGGATTGATTGCACTCACACACACACGCTCACTCACAAAGAAAAGCACATGTTTGCCAGATGATAATATTCCATGTTCTGTTATTCATAGTTTACAAACTGGTTAAAAAAAAGTATTTTCAAAGTTGCAACTGCATTTTCGAAATTTAATCCGAGTTCGTTGCCTAAGTCTTTTGTTTTGCTAGCGGTAAACGGTGGATTAAGAGTCTGCTTTTTTTCGTGGAGCGCGGCACGTGCTGAGCGAACAATGGTCGCGGCTTGTTTGAGTCGCAGGTTTCAACGCGGCGATCGGCGAAAGAGATGGCGTTGCAGACGTCGAAAGAGATGGAGAGAAACGCCGGAGAAAGAGACGCCGACAGAGACGATACAACGGAGATTTGGACCAGCTTGGCCAGCGGTCGTCGAAGAAATGTAAAAGCCAAAAGCAGCGGACCCCAAAGAAGTGCCGAGCGAGAAAGCTCTCGGCCAGGCCTTCTTGTTGTGGCCGCTGATGTTTAAATGTTTATATATGTACTCTTTTAGGGGGTAGTTAGGTTTATCGCTAAAATATTGCCCATCTATTTGGGAAAGCTTTTCCCGATTTTTGCTTAATATATGTGATTCGAAATTATAATATTAATATTACATATGCATCCATAAAATATCAATAAATACATATATATATTCCAATTAATATCATCTATCATATCATATCATACATCATATCATACTTATATCATATCATATATCATATCATATATCATATCATACTTATATCATATCATATATCACATTTCAAAAGAATATAACAATTATTATGTGCTAATTAACAATTTTAAAGATCCATTATTATATCATATATCATTAAATTTGTATTGTTAAATTGAAAACTGTTTAATAAACTTTTTATTTTATATTTTACATTGATGATATCAATTATTTAAATATTTATCACATATGAAAAATAGATAATTGAACATCTTTTACTTTTAAAATATATTGTTTCTAATATTTACTATTAGATTGACAACAAATATTCAACTAATAATTTTTTATTATCCTTCTACCTCAAATTCAAAATTAGTTTTGAAAGAGTATTCGAAACGTGGGTCAAAATTTTCGAAATACATCTGCTGCTGATGTAAACACCGGCTGATTTGAGTGATGCGCTTGTGTTTAGTTGATATTCGATGCGCTTTTTGCACACTGCTAGACTTTTTCTCGCTTGCCTCTTTGTAGTTTCAGTATGCTGGAATTTATCTTCATTGGTTGCTGTTGTTTCTGTTGCTGTGTGGTGGGTATAATTTGATTCAATAGAATTTATACTTTTTTATGGTCAAGCTGGTGGTGGCGCGTCATGCGCGGAAACCTCATCGCTAACGGTTGTTTATGGCCAGTTTAAGGTTTTGTGCATAATTGTCTGGCTTCAGTCGTTCGTTGCTCTTGGTCCACGGCTCTTTAACTCCATCCCGCTGCCGAATGGGGTCCATTTAAATGCAATCAATCAATGACTTATGGCTAATTAGCCAGTGCAATTTAATGGAAATACGAAAACACTTCATTAGAGGTGCCACTAATGAGGCAACATCGCTTTACGACGTGTTTACTTTGTCGCCCGGCCACTTTAAGTTCGATCTTTGAACTTTACATTGCCACAAAGTGCATCGAATTGCAATCGATCGGTATTATGGCTTTATCGTGTGCTTACATTGATGAAATCGAAGATTAAGCGTTGCAAATCGTCAAAGACTTAAATAATAATTGACACCAGGATTGCTTAATGTCTTAATGGATTTTGTAATGCCTAGACCATAAATCGAAAATAGAGAAATTTAATTTGTGCGAGCTGAAGATGTACCTAGCATTGGTCACAGTACGAGCCATCCATTATAAAAGTAAGATTAACATGTTGGTAAAAACAATATGTACATAGTTGTAACACTCATTACCAAAAACTTTACTGATTTCTAGTATAAAACTAGTTTTTCTTGATGTGAGAAAATATTTATATTAATTTTAAAATCACATATATTGGCTAAATATGATTTCTGGTATAAAAAATGTGTTGTAAATATGATGCTATATCCTCTAACATTAGGTTATATACAATTTTCTATTGTAACAATAATAAGAAAACATTTCATAAATCGTAAGGAAAAGGTAATGGGTTACAGATCTTAGATGGGTTATAGATGACAAAAGAAGCAATATAGACTTAATTAAACAAATTACTAGCATTACTAGTATTTGACTAACCTGATGGCCGCTGGCTGGTGGTTTGCCAGCACTCGCATACTGCCTCCGAATCTGTGCTGCTGCAGTTGATTCTGGTGCGGATCGAACTCCGGTTCGGGGGGATAGCCGCTGGACATGTTCCTGCTGATCTGACTGATGCGGCTCATCCGGCTGGCGTGCGATCCTCGCTCGGAGTTGCACTTGGAGCCGCACAGTGAGTTCTCGCAGTAGCGACAGCACTTGTTGTAGCTAAAGGTGGAGGTGCACAGCGTGCAGAATGAGTCCAGCTGCGACTCGGCATGATCGTCCTCCAGATCAGCGTCCTCGTTGACAGACGGATCTATTCCCATGATGCCATGATGCCTGCGCATTTTAACCGTTTCTGTATGACTACTGCGATCCTCGTCGGAGCAAAAATGATAGGGCTCGCTTTCGGTGTCCTCCTCCTCACCCAAACTGCTGCCCGCACTGCCCTCCTGGCGACCTCCTGCTCCCTGCGACATCCCAAAGCTGCTCAGGGGACACGAGGGATATCGGGTGAGTGGAAAGGGCCGCACATTGTATTTGCTGGCCATCGACAGGTTCTCATTGAAGTAGATCACATTGGGCGACTGCACTTGACCAGGTGCCGCCCTCTCGCGCTCCCTGTCCCTTTCCCTGCCCATTTCCCGGTCCATTTCCCGATCCCTGCTGATGCTGAGATCGTGGTATTTCCGCAGGAATGCCGCATTGCAGTCGGCGGCCGTGTATTCGTGCAGTTTCTTGGGCTTTTGGGCGGACACATGTGCTTGCTGAACATTCCCCTTGTGGTGATTCGAATTGCTGCTGTTGTTCGTGTTGCTGTTGCTGCTGTTGTTGTTGCCGCCGCTGCTGCTGCTGCTGTTGTTGTTGTTGCCGCCGGAGCGCAGCAGGTCAAAGAGGCGCTGCTTGAGGTCGCGCATGGCCACATGGGGTTCTGTAAATAAGATTTGAATTATAATTTAATGAATATCATAAGTTATTTCACAAATCAAAAGGCAAATTATGTTAATAAGAGATATTTAAAGTTAAATATTTGAGGGCCGAAGGACTTTAGCTTCCAGCGCACCTTCTTTTTCAAATATTAATTTTAGTATTATATACTAGCTTTGTTAAAATAAAAATAAATAAATAAATAAATATTTGAAAAAATTCTTCAATTTCTAAGTCGATTTTTAGTTAATAATCCAGAATTTATGTTTGTGTATAGATCTATATTGGCTTGAAAAGTTATCATTTAATTTTTAAAACTTAGTGAGATATTTAAAAAATTGCTTAATAACTTTAATGAATTCAAACTTAAAGTCGGTTAAATACAGTTTTACTCCAGCGTTCAAAATGGTTCGTGTCACAACTAAACAGTTTTACAGCTACTGAGGTTGCGAGCTTGGACAGCAGAGACGCTTTCGAAGATCTGGTAACGCTTGGCAAGCAAATTAATGAAATTATAATTATGAGCAAAAGAAATCAGTGGAGTTTTTAATCACTTTCCAAACAATTTTCACCATGCTTTAATGGATAAATAATCCAGCCGCATGGTTGTGTTATTTGACCGCCGCCGAGGCTGTCTAACGATCAGGCAGCACTGGCTTTCGGTCAAAGAAAAACTTTTGCCCATTGCGAAGTAAAAACAACTTCAAGCCACGGTTTTCCATGATAAACTTAAGCCCGATCCACTCGGAAAAGTCCACGCCCTTGATTCACACGTGGGAAATGATGTAAAATGATTAATAACACGGAGTAACACAAGAACTATTTTCCCGCCGCGTGAAATGCGACCAGTTGGAGAAGCAACGGAAATTCAGCAACTTTGGTGGAAGCCCACAGCATATTGGCAGCCACAGTCAACGGTCACACTGGCCAAAATAAATAATTTTTTAGCACGTATAAACCGCGAAACACTTTGTGATCGAATTAGCTTAATTAAAGCAGGTAAGTCAACATAAGCAAGTGTCCAACTGAGGGCAGACCTAATAAACTATGTGTTCACAGCAAAAGCCAGCCGACCGAGTCAAGTATGAGCACCCAGCGCGGCAATGTGAGTCGCACACGTGCGCAGAAACACACAAATCGTCATGTTTTCAAAAATGATCTGCACGACAAGACGCCCCAACAGCTGCGATTGAACGCGATGCACGTGTCCACGGTCTGCCAGCGGTGCAAGGAGCAGATCGAGTGGAAGATCAAGTACAAGAAGTACAAGCCGCTGTCGCAGGCCAAGACCTGCACCCACTGCAAGCAGCGGACGGTGAAGAAGGCCTACCATGTGGTCTGTCGCGACTGCGCCATCAAGGCGAATGCCTGCGCCAAGTGCCTGAAGAGCGCCACCGAGGTGACCATCGAGGAGCCCCAGCCCACGCCCCGCGAGGAGCAGCAGCTGCAGTCGGAGATGGACCGACTGGTCAAGTCCTTTTCGGAGCGCAAGCGACGTGCCTTCCTGCGCTACATGAAGAAGGGCAAGAAACAAGAGAAGGGTCAGGATCAGGACAAGGACCAGCTGGATGATGAGCAGCTGGAGACCCAGGAGAAGGCCAAACGGGTGGCACACACACGCGACGAGCTGCTGGACAAGATCAAGCAGCTGAATCTCGCCGAAGAGGATGAGGGCGACGAGGATGACTCGGACTTCGATTCGGAGGAGGACGATGATGATTCCGACTTCGACTCCGAGGAGGAGGAGGACGACAGCGAGGAGGAGCCACACAAACCTGTCTCTGAGAAGCCCACAAAGGCGAAATAAACCTATTTTTTGTTAGCTACTCATTTTGTTTAGCTTCCTGGAGGGAGAGTTCGAGTTGTATTGCGAGGCAAAGGATAAATCTGTTCCAAAGTGCACTCGAAGGCGAAGCCTGGCTGGCCCGAAAGAGAAGTCAAGTGTTTAGGAACATCCAAAGCAGGACAAGCCTAATCCAGAGTATCCAACAAGGCTAAGAAACCAATTATTTAAAGCCCAAAAGCTTTGTTTACACCTCTTGGTAACCAAAGTGAAAGAGATGGAAAGTTTGTAAAGTTTCAAAATCTTGGAAATATTATGAGAGCTTCCATAGCTTTTACCATAAATTTATGTATATAAAATGTAACAACTTTTGAATGGTATGCCTAAAAAGATATGGCCCCAAAATAATCAACGCTACTTTTAAGAGTAGCTGCAGAAATGCCTTAGATCTTCGATAATTGTGTATGGAAAAGCTTATTGGTATACAATTGGCAATAACGTTTAGATAAAGTGAACATTTTATTTTAAATTCTTACAGAATATTAAAACTATCATATGTTTTAAATGCTGTGGTTCTGGTTCTTTGACATCTGGCGAGTTTGGAAAATTTGCATGTCATCTTGCGAGTTCAGGTGCAAGTTTTGCTGGAGGGTCAAGGCGTACCTCGCGTTGAAGCTTGCAGTTGGGATAAAAATCGGTTTGGACGGAGTCGAGACTGTGGCCGTCCCCGGGGCGTTGTTTTCCTGCATCTTAATTTTTTTTAGTGCCGGGGGACTCATATCCTGCTTCTCGATTAATCCAGAATTTTCCATGACAAGGCTTTGCTTATAATTGTCAAAGATAATTGAAAAGCCTACTAGGGCGTTCAAGGAAATACGAAATTCACTTGACATTTCAGCAGTAATCGTAAATAAATATTTTTAATAACTGCAATGTCCGTTAAAATGTTTTTTTGTTTGAGAAACTATATAACTTATTAAAGGAAATCGACATTAATTATGAAAAGCAAAATCTTATTTAAGACATTTGAATAAAAAGTTATTTTGGAACCGTATTTTAAAACTCTCATATTATTTATTATATTCCATTTGATTTTTAAGTCTTGAAAAGTCACAATAAGCGACTTATTTAAGTCACTTTAACACATTAATTCTGGACTTTCAAAATCAAAGATAGTTTCCAAATGTAAAATAAAAATATTTTTCAAAATTTAAAAGAAAGGTATTTTCTAACACTGTTTTTCTATACTGCACTGCTCCGTTAATAAGTATTCGATATCTGATACTTTTATGCAATCGATACCTTTTTGTTATTTCGATATTAGTTGGTCCACTTTGCGAGTTCATCGATATCAGGTGGTGCACTTTAAGGAGTTGGAGCATAGCATATCCCATATATCATAGGCCTATTCTGTCCTATAGGGGCTGCCCTGTCATACCTGTATTACCTGACATTCCACGCGTCACGTCGCAGAGAAAAAACCAAGTGAGCAAAAATTAAAATAGGGAATGGAGGACAGCAAGAAAGAGGTGAGTCGTGACCGTCGCCATGGCAGGAAGAAGGGACCGTCAATGGCAGGAAATCCGTCAGGAGTTCTTCTGGCCAACGGAAACGGAACCGGGCCGAAGAACGCAGCCAAGGCGAATAATGTGAACAAAAAGGTCTCAAAAGCCGGCGACATTGAAAAACTGAGCGCCGAGGAGGAGAAGGCACTGCGCCAGCTGGTTAGCGACTTCATGCAGAGCCGCGAGCCGGCGCAGCAGCTCCGCGGACTCACCAAGACGCAGCGCAGCCACGTGCACCAACTGGCCCAAAGTCGCGGCCTGAAGACTACTAGCAAGGGTGCCGAGGACGATCGAGTCCTGACCATAACGCGACCGCAGTCGGAAGGCCTCCAGCACTTCCTCCTGGACAACGCCAAGCTGCACATGAGTGCCAAGCTCAGCAATGCCCTTCGCGAGTTGAACGGGCCCGTGGAAAGGCGCCTGGACACCACCTGTCCGGGCTTCGTGCGCCACAATCGGCTCCAGGAAGAGCAGCGACCATCAAACTTCGGCCTGGTCGGACAGAAGCTGATCCCGCCGCCACACAGCAACCGCAACAGGAACATTCAGCAGGAGCGACAGGGCCTGCCCATCTACAAACAACGCGAGAACATACTCAGTGTTCTGCAGCGCGAACAGGTAACTAGAATCTATCTATCTGTCCATAAATTAGGTATTTAGGTCCGAATATAAAAACTATATTTCTCAGATCTTTAAAGAATTATATTGAATTATTATTGTTCCATAACTATTCCTTTTGATATAGGGCAGTGGTCGGCACACACATATCATCACAAGTGTAACAAACACGAAGTTTGCGCGCGGCGTGCTGTAGCGAGACGTTTCTCTGCTTTGCACTGAGATCCTCTGCCACAGCAACAAAAAAGCTCGCCGAAGTTGAGAAAAAATGACCCGAAGACCCATGCCGAAGTCACACGAACATGTACGTTATACGTGAGCGAGCAGAGGATGGGCAGAACACTTCCCTATGCTCACTAGATAGGCCGCTGCCGACCACTGATATAGGCTATCTATATTTATCTTATTCCTAAGACTCATTACAGTACACTTAATACTTGATTTTTCCCCACAGGTTTTGATCATTAAAGGAGCAACAGGCTCAGGCAAATCCACCCAGTTGCCGCAGTACATCCTCGAATGGGCCGCCGATCATCGTGCTCCGGTCAGGATTGTGGTAAGTCAGCCACGACGCATAGCCGCGATTAGTGTTTCCGAGCGTATCTCCAAGGAGCGCGGCGAGGCACCAGGCAGTACAGTGGGCTATCAGATTCGCATGAACAGTGAGTAACAGATAGACACGAAATCCAGCGGACTAAACTTAAAACCATACTCCGTTTCCGACAGGCAAATGCAGCAGCCACACGGTTTTAACCCTGACCACCAGTGGCTGCCTTTTACGTGCTCTGGCCATGGACGGCGAGTCTTTCTTCAAGAACACGACTCACCTAATAATCGATGAAGTACATGAGCGTGATCTAGACACTGACTTTCTGCTGCTGGCCACCAAATTGGAACTGCAAAAGAATCCCCAACTCCGCCTGGTGCTCATGTCGGCCACCATGGATTTGAAGGCTCTGTCCGACTATTTTGGCAAGGCCTCTGTGATGGATGTGGAGGGACGCAGCTTCGGGGTGAGGATCTTTCATCTGGAGGATATTCTCAGTGAGACTGGCTACATGACTCCAAGAATGGAGCAGTTTTTGGTGGAGCCGACAGGCGAAGAAGATCCCGCCGAACTCCTGGCCGCCTATTACGGTGGTCGCACAATAATTGACCCCGAAATCGATAACGATCTTATCGTTTCGTTATTGGAGCTCCTATTGCGCAGGGGCGACACTGGAGCGGTGATTGTTTACCTGCCAGGGTACAATGACATGACCGCGCTGATGGACCGCTTGGACATGGCTCTGCCGCGGGACCAGATCAAGATCTTACTGCTGCACAGCCAGGTGGACAACAACGAGCAGCGCAAGGTGTTCCGGGTCTATCACGGTGTACGTTTGAAGATCATCCTTAGTACAAACATAGGTCAGACTTCAATTACCATTCCTGATCTGCTCTACGTCATCGACACGGGTCGCGCCAAGATGAAGACCTATGACCCGGCCACGGATGCCTCTCAGCTAGCCAGTACGTGGATCTCGCAGGCGGATGCCAAACAGAGGGCGGGAAGAGCTGGACGCTTGCGCCATGGCATCTGCTATAGACTCTACGACAGCGAGCGCCTGGCCAGGATGGACCTGTACGCCATTCCCGAGATCATGAGGCGTACCCTCGACGAAATATGTCTGATGACCAAGGTGACAGCTCCGGACAAGAAAATAGACAAGTTTCTTGCTTTGGCATTGGATCCGCCGCAACCGGAGGCCGTGGTGCAGGCCTGTTCGAGACTGCAGCTCTTAGGCGTGCTCAGGGAGAAGAGTGAAACGATTACGCCACTGGGGCGAATCATTGCCGAACTGCCCCTAGGAGTGCAACTGGCCAAATCATTGGTCTACTCAATATACTTGCGCTGCCTTGGTAGCATGACCATCATTGCGGCCTACCACTCGGTGAGAGATCCATTTGTGTTGAACACGGACCGCGGCAAGAAATCGGGTCAGCAGACCGCCTGCCGACTTAATTTTGCTGGCGACGGAACGAGCGATTCGCTGGCCGCGTTGCAGCTCTACGAGGAGTTCACCAACTTGAAGCGCATCAATATTGGCGAGTTTTGTGAGCGCAATTTTGTGTGCCGCCACTCGATGGAGATGTTCGTATCGGCGGTGTCCACTCTACGCGACACCGTGTACCGCATTTTCGGTTCCAACCAGGCCAGTGCACGTTTGGCCTCGTCCTTAGATAAGGATACAAACATGATACGTCTGGCCCTGACGGCAGGCCTGTATCCCAAGCTGGCGTACATGGACCGGGAGAATAAACACCAGCTGGTTGCCGAGGGTGATCCCTTCGTTCAGGTTTCGAGAAGCTCTTGCCTGCTGGGCAGAAAGAAACAGAAGGCTTTGGCCAGCGAATGGATCCTCTTTGTGGAGAAGAGCCGTAGTGCCGATCAGAGGTCCACACTGGAGCACACCACCCTGGTGAGTGCCCTAATGGTGGCTCTGGCAGGCGGAAAGGTGTTCCGAGTTGAACCATTCGAATCGGAGGCGCTATTGTGCCTAGACTCATGGATCCGCATGAAATGCCCAACTGATTGTGGCCGACAACTTCGCAATATGCGAAGGCTAATGGATCGCGAGGTGGCCGAGTTGGTGGATTCTCGCAAGTTCGGCCCAGCTGGCAAGTGGATTGGCCCAGAGACGTTCTGCCGACTGATGCTGGCAGACGTGCAATCCGTTTGCTTGGCCGAGGGCAAAAGTCTGCCCGACGAGGGTAACTGTGATAACGACTATTAAATTTTACGCTTAGGCCAAAAAACTGGATACATACTTAACACATACTCACAGTATTCGCAGAGTGATGGATCCGTAAAAATAAATCCACTTTTTTACGATAAACCTATATTTGTACAGTGCGTTTCAAAAGCATAAGACAGCATTTCGTACCTGATTAGGGCAGCTAAATTCACAACTAAGAGGCTAATAAATATTTCTCAAAAACATTATTATTTAACATCGAATATTTTATAAAATATACAACTTTTATATAACAATTTTTATACAAACCCGGAATCGATTGAGAACAATATTTTAGCCTGACTCTTAAAATGTACAAAGCATTTGTTAGGTAATACAGTTTCCATTGTACTTATTAATTAAAAATGTGAATTTTAAGTAACTTACAGAATGCTTTTGCCCAATGTTCTGTTTTTAAGTTCTTGCGTATCTGTGTTAGCTCATAAGAGTTTTAAACGACTACTTATGAGTACCTAAAATTATACAAATTAAAAAAATGGCGACAAATTCAATATATCTTGAAAATGCTGATGGTAACCGATAAAAAATGTGTTTTTTTATTGTACTTTCTTTAAGAATATAAGAATACTATCACAAAAAATCATGCTGATCAAACCGTTAAAGATATAGCATTTTATAGCTAACTTTGAGTAATAAGTTAGAATGGTTTCATTTTTCAAGCAAAAAATAATTATCAAAAACCTTTTTTTTTATCTTTGTTAAAACGACATTGTAACACTTTAAAAACTCCTTCGATCAGCGACAAGAAAATTTAACAAACTAAATTATTGAAGTTATAAAGCTGAAGTTATAAACTTATAAACGGAACAAACAAAAATTAAATCAAAATCACAGAAATCGATGTATTTTTCGTGCTTCAAGTTATTTAACACCTTAGTTATTAACACTAGCAAATATAAAATTTCATCAATATTCGTATATTTGTTATATTTCCAACATATTTACATGTTTGTACCAAAGTACAATGCCATTAGGCATTTGATTTTACTTGAAATGAGCTAACACAAAACACTAACTACTAAACTATATTCCAAAAAAGTTGTGATACGTAAAGTCGCAAGTCATATTTGTTAAGCCTAAGAATAATTTTGAATGTATAACGAGATCTCTATACTTTATTAATTTATCGGGCCTGAGATTTATTTTTAAATGCTTTGCTCGGTTTATGTGTAAGTTCTAAAAGCTAGCAGGTATTCGTTTATGAAATTCAAAAAATAGTCCTGAAAGTGAAAAGCAGAAAGACTTAAGGATATTTCCGAATGAAATATTAAATCTCTGAATCTCATTCCATGTCTCACGGCAGGTATTTATAGATGTAACTATTTTAAGCTCTGAAACGCACTGTAGGCACATTTTAGTAATTGGAAACACACAGGGAATCAAAAATGTAAACCAAAAAAATATGAACTTGGAGAGTGTGATGGCGGGCACTCCCTAATTGCCGGGTGAAAATATGTGTGCCACAAGTGCCACGAGATGCCGGGGAGATCGCGACTCGGAGTCGGTGTCAGTGTCAGCGAGCCCAGTTGGTTGTGGGCGTGGCAGTTCCCTGCGGTGCATTGGGCCATGGCAGTCATGGAGCTGGCGTTTATGCACCACCTGCCCCATCTGCCCCCCCACCTGCCTCCTCCCACTGCCCATTCAGGCGCAAACAAGAGCGGGCAAAACACAGAAAAAATCAAGAGTTAATTGCACAGACGACGCAGTCAATAAACCTGAAGTCGAGCTTGTCGCTGCTGCAGCAACAATGGCCACAAAAGACACCGGAGCAACAGCAACAGCAACTGCGACAGCAGCAGCAACAAAAGACAGCAGCTTACTTACAAAGAAAGTGAAATTAATTTGTTATTTTTCGGTCGATTGTGGGCTCTTTGAGCGATGCCTTTGAAAAACTGGGAGAGAGCATGGCCAATCTCCACGGTCGACCCTATAAATTCGATGTATTTTTCGCTCCCGTAGAATGTGTTATATGTGCAAATGAATGTATGAAAATAATTTAAATTGAATGTTTACTGTATGTAGAAAATCAAAACAAAACACTATAAAAACATAATACTATGTTGGACTTCTTTTAAAAGCATTCTAAATGTAAATACTATAAGAATTTAAGCTATTTATCATAAATGTAGATATTTTGTAATAGCTAAACACTTACAAATGTTTTAATCATCTGCATACTATTTTTTTTTTAATTTAAATTACCCATACTTTTATTATTATTTATTTAAAACTTGCTTATATCTTGAGAAATCCGTCCTCGTCTCAAAAAGTCTTCTATAATTTCAATACAGATGATACTATGCTTCCATTTCAAATAAAAACTAAGACATTTTTTGTGTCTTTAATTTTCGAAAACATTTTTTTCCACTCTGAAAAATTGTAGTAAGTAATGTGTACTTTTTATGCATAAACTGTTTATGCTACAAATTTTTCGAAAGCACACTTAAGTCTACAATAAAATAAAAAGTAAATGTAAAATATTTTTGATGTACCTACAACTACAGCTTTTAAGAAATAAAAATTTACTAGATGTTTGGAGCGAAAAAAACATTGGTTTTTTTTTAGATTGTAACATAATGATGAAATGGAAAGTTCAACAATTGATTTGACCCAAATGGGAAATTCAATAATATGCAACTCATCAATGGGAATTGCGGGAAATCACAGTGGCCCAACCTCGAATTTTCCACAATTTGCGAAGAGAATTCCACAAGAAGCCATGAGAAATGGGGGCCACCAAGAAAACCGCAGATCAATTTTCCCAGATGACTCCTCCATTGTCGGTGGCTGCCATTGAACTCTGGCGAGGATGGGGCTGGCCGAGGAGGAGGTGGTGGAGTGCCAAATGAATGATAATGGCCAATAGGCATCTGCTCTCGAAATCAAATGAAGTCAAATGGCTCGATGCGCAGGCAGCACTAATGGATATGACCATAAACCTGGCCAACGAGTGGCCCGGCTTCCAGGGGGAAGCAAGTTGAACGCACTCGCCATCGATTCCGATTTAAATTGGCCACAGATCCAATCCCCATTGCCAACCAGCTCGGCAGGTGTCTCTTTGTCATTGTCCGCGGACAGGAAGGCGGAGATTGTGGGGCGGAATCGGTGATTCCAGGGATTTCTGTGTTAACTTTTAGTCTTTTTCAGAGCTATTCACAAACAATAATATTATCAACCCCTTTAAAAAGACGTACTTCTTGGAAATTTTAGTAAGTATTAAGCCGAATGAACTCTGTCTTGTTTTAAAAAATCATAGAAAATAAAGGCCCATATTTTAAAAATAAATAAATATTAGTATTCATTAAAAATGTCATAATATAAGATGATTTGTGTATAAATACCACCATTGTTTTTTTCTTTTAGTAATTTATTCCTCTTCACTTAAAAAAAGGTTTACAAGACAGCCATTTTCTAAATTGGTTAGGTTTTCATATTTCTATACAAAACAACATATTATGAAAAACTAAAAAAGTATTAAAGTAAGTATTATCAAACAATCACCTGGTAATATTTTGTAAATATCATTTTTCCTATCAACTCAGTTTAATCTTTTCAACTTGAGAGCACCTAGGAATTTAATAAAAAGTCTAGTATTTGCAAGCTGGTTCTCTTAGAACCTTCTAAACGGGTATTTGAAGCATCCAACGGGGGATTAAGTAATAGCACCATTCCATCTTAAATTCCCCCAACAGATGGAAACCCGATCCCACCGCGGATCGCATCTGCAGTTAGGCGATGAAATGTGAGCTAATGAGGGGGGCCCTCGACTGATTGATGATCGGTTTGTATTTTTGGGGCCGCCAGTTACAGTTACATAATTACGCCAAATTGGTTTCAGCAGAAGTTGCCCCCAGATCTGCGCTGTTCCCAATGTCCCATGCTCCATGCTCCAATCTTCAAGCCCGATGATCCCATGGCCCAGGGCTCCCAGAGATGACATCATCTCACATAATCGCACATCTGCAATAATCCCAGACATTTGTGCAGCACGGAATGCATTTCGGTAATTCCAAATTCCAAATTCCGAATTCCAAACGGGTGTATTATCATGAATATGTACATATGCACATACACGAATTCGGGGAGGGATTGGACCGAAGGTAAAACTCAGAGATCACGCCAGTGAAAGTATGCCCCTTTAGCGGGGTCAAATCAATCAGGCTGGGCGGTGACCCGCCGCTTGGGGAACTGGGGGAACCGTCTGTCCGTCTGGGTGGCAATCGAAAATGCTCTTAAGACCCCCCCGATTTTGGGGGATTTTCGTAGATTTTCTCGAGAGCAACACCTTTCCAAAAACAACGCCTAATTATGTCATTAAAACGCTTGGCGCTTTGGTGTGCGCTTTTTAACGACGATTTGTAAGAAGCTGGCCAGCAATTTCAATTTGTATAAAAAACATTATGCTGCAGTCTTTGTTTTTTAATAATATTTTCTCCTTTCTCGAAGTGAGAATTATGAGATATAATAAAACATTTGAAGTTTATAAGCTATGCACATTTAAAAAACTATTTATTTATTCACTCGCCTTGATGTGAAATTCCGAAAAAAATATTATTATATATATTTATGATGAACAGACTTAATGTATATTTAGGTTTGTTAAAATGTATGTGGTATATATTTTTAAATTATTTTTCTTTCTTTAAAAATACATAGCTATTAGATAGTAGATAGTAGTAGTATCAAAGATAATATAGGCAGTAGTCAATTTTATAGTCGTTTCCATTAACTTCTTATGAATCCTAATTAATCTTAATAATAATTTTTTTAAACTTTTTAAATCCAATATTTAAATTAAAAATGTAAAGGGTAAACGTAATTATTATTTGGGATTTTGATTATTAAGAGCTTTGTTTAAGAAATGCAACAAAATCTTTCTAAGCAAAATAATGCGTCTGGGGCACAGTCCAAACCCTCTAGATTTTATTAAAGACCAAAATAAAGGGGAGGCTGTGGGGAATATCGGCGACCCATGACGAACCTTAACTGCGGTAAAAGTGAAGTCATGTGCGAGTCTTTGGGGCACCGAAAAGTAAAAGCCAAAACGAGAGTGAAGTGATGGCAAAGCAAGCCGAGCTCGTGATTCGCATTTGGCCATGGCCAACAGCAACTGGCAACATGAGCGGCCAGCAACTTGAACCACCAGCAACTAGCAACTAGCAACCATCAGCCAGCAACATGAACAGCAGGAGCCGGAAATCTGGTCAGGTTGTGACCCCCGGAAGTGGTCGCCATAATTAATCAATATCGATTGCTCTGTGCCGACCTGTCATTATTCATGCACGATATGAATGTGGTGTAACGTCTGCCTTTTGTTTCGTTTCGTTTGTCACAACAATTTAATGACGGCGCCAGATAATATTTTGCCATTTCTTTTTGCGGTCATTAAAGTGTCATAAAATGTTGCCAATTCCATGGCAAATATTCGGCAGCTCCCCAAAAACTGATAATCCATGTTTATATCTGTGTTTATGTAAGCCGAGGCGAGAAATTGCCCAAGCAATGCAGCAATGGATGGCCGGAGGCGTGGCAACAACGGCGCCAATCAGTGGCAACAACAGCGATAGCACAGCAGCAACACCGGCAACATAGCAACATCTGCAATATCGCCACTCTCCAACGGCAACAGCAACAGCTGGACAACAGTAATA